GGCGCCGAGGCTCGAGAGGTCCGGCTCCAGCAGCGGGGCCTGTGTCGCTTACAGGGGCCCGAGCCGAGTGGGAAGAGTTTCTGTTAGATGCTTCTCTCTTAACTCTCAAAATGGAAAAAATCTGAATGCGTGAGGAGGGGCTAGCAGTGATCTCATCCCTGCACGGGACACAACCTTTGCGGGAGTTTCTGCAGGTTGTGTTATCTCCGCTGAAGGTTTTCATTTCAAAAGTAATCCAGCTGGATCAAGAACACGTTCAGAGATCTTCCTGCTCAAGCAGGAAGCGTAAAGCGCTTTGTAAAGCGCTCACCTCTTAATAGTGATCTAAAGGCACACAGTTCTTCTGAAAGTCAAATGTGGTATATGATGATGCCATGTTACTTTCACAGCTATCATCAATAGCTAAAATAAATGTTTGACTCTTCCATCAAATGTGATAACTTAAACTGTGCTTGTGTATGTTAGTCAATATTAGTGCTGCTTGGAAAACTGCACTTTCCTGCCTTCACCTCAATTGATTACCTGCAGGATAGACTCCATCCAGGCTGCTATGTTTTCTTCAGGAAGATAGAAGTAGCTGTTAAAGACATGGGCAGAGCCTGGAGAGTAAATTGCTGCTTGCTATTCAGGAAGGAGTTTAAAACCTTCTGAAGTACGGTGTTTTCTCTTTCTGTGATCAGTTTTCTAATTGGGGCTCATCTTGCGGACTTCTGTCCAGCAGTGTTGATAGCTCTCCATTTAAAAAGCAAGCAGCAAGTTTGGCCTTTGTACTGCAGAAACTCAAGGAGGTGACACTTGACTCATGAGCAGTCTCAGTGAAGTCAATATTTTTAACTTTATTCTTGTCAAGTTTAGTTCTTAAATTTTCCCTTATTAGATACATCTGCAAATTTTTAGTTGCTCTTCTCCTGAGGTACTCTCAATTATGATTTTCAAGATAGAGTATTTTAATTCCCAAAGAAAGTGGTGTTTATTCTAGTAGTTTTTTTTACAGCTCTGTTTTCTTAAGCTGTGCTAGTTTAAGGTTTGCAATCTGTTTTGCTGCTATATCTTTAATCTCTTATATTGGCTTCCTTTTAAAGCACAGAGGACTCTAGATTCTTCCTATTTCTTCCCTCCCTCCAACACAGATGAATTTTTCTAATAGATCATTTTTACTTCATTTACTATTAATTTAAGCAATTACTTCCTTTTGTTTCAGATTCATTTGTGTTAGTAAATATTGAAGGCATGATAGGGGTTGACAGCTTGAAAATGCTTTTGTTTTCTTGTGAGGTCTTCAAATGTGTCTTTTTGAAAAGAGGCTACGCTGTACTCTCATCTCATTTTTCATATTCCAACTCTACCATCTCCTGTTTGCATCTACTATAATCATCTTTTTGAACCTGGACTAAAATTATGATGAGTGAAGTGTGTGTGTTTTTTTGTTTGGTTTTTTTTTTCTGTAATCTCTTTCAGCGGGGAAACAAGATACAACAAAGACAAGATACTGCAAGGTTAGTATCAGTCGTGCTACTAGCTTGTTGGAGGGATGAAGTTATGATTCCCTGCAAAATAAGAAACCCCATAATCAACTGTTGACATGTTAAATAGTATTACTGAATAATAACATATACCTTAAGAGACCTTATTTGCAAGCCAGGACATTAGCTTGATAACTGTAGTAACTATAATGCTTCTAATAAGTCAGTCTCCTCAAAATGTCTAGAAGTAGTGGTGTATTTCTGGTACTGTCAGGAGAATTAGAAGACTTCCTTTTTCCAAATAGGGGAAAAAAAGCTATCTCTCATCAAATAAAACTATAGCAGCACCTATTGGTAAGGATGCCAGAATAACACACACCACTGTGTTAAGGCTCAGTGGTTTGTATCAAGCCTGGGAAAAGGGGTTCCAGGATTCAGATGAGAAGTGGGAGAGGTGCAGCTCTGGCAAAGAACAAGCCAGGTACGTGTATGAACAATGACCGGAGTTGCTAAGGAGCTGCAGAGGGATGAATGAGGGTCATGTTGTAAAAGAGGCTGTTGCTGTGAGAAGGTAATCCTTCCCTTGCAAAAAAGCATAAAGTAGAGCAAGGAAGCGTGAAAAGTGAAGGTTGTTTACATGCTTGAATTAATCAATCCCAGCTTGTTCTATAAAGGCTGTCTGTAGACAAAACATTTAAACCAGGCTTTTCTGTAGCAACTACTGACTTTGTACACTCAGAACTAAAAAAATCTGAGTTGTTTGGGTGTCTGCTGTAGGAAGACTGAGGCTCACAGCTGCAAGGAACCTGATGAGATTGTGCTCCAAATAAAATAAATTGTATGCAGTGCTACAGGCTGTGAGGAAGTATCATGCTTCTAGATTTTCCTACCTCTGTTTTGACGTTACAACCTACAGTTCTTGCAACATGGCCTTTGTGTTCATAATAAATGGAATTAAGTTTCATGTTCCTAAAAGTACTAATAGTGTCTTTGTAATTGCTAGTTCTGTGTATTGGATGATATGTAGTAGGCTTCTACTACATATCTTCCCCCTCTTCTCGTCCCCCGCCAAGTTCTGGACTTCTGGTGTCCTATCTTACGCTAAAGTAAGCTTATAAATAATCAATTGTGTATTTTCTTGGTGAAAATTATATTTTTGCCATTGTTTGGATAGGATACTGTCTGCTTTGACTTCCTACAGAAGTAAAATATATGATAAAAATGTAAACAAAGCAACTTGGTACAGGTTTGTCACTCTGCCACAATTCTAGGTTCTCTTACAGATTCTCTGAAGCTATGACAGGACCAAACTTTTATGTCATTAAAGTTGGATTGCCATAGTGCTCCATCTCAGCCTTGCCCTCGAGCTCTGTGGCGAGTTAGTTCCAGTCTACTCTGGCTGAAAACAATGTTTTGCAGGGTTACTTTTCAGCTAGATTTGCTCCATGAGCATGCTTGCTTTACAACTGCATGAGTATTAGTGTCAATGTAAGAAGTAGAGGAAGAGACCGTAACAGACTATGTTTACATCAAATATAAAATTGTTATGAAACAAAGAGTTTGTGCTGCATTTCCCCGTTACATAGAATCCCTTCTTGTTGCCTCATTCCTTTAAGGTATTGTCAATGTTAGGCAGTGGGGAGGAACAAGCGTTTCATATTTGTTAGGGTTTGACTCTCCTGATGTGCATGTTTCTTCCTGTGTGCATTTTAATATAAACAACAATATCTCAGTTGTATTGTCTGTTTTTGTTTGTTTGTTTACTTTTCTTATTACAATCAACAAATTTCTTTGAGTTTGATTTTCAGCTGTAAGACTCCTTTTGCAGGATGCTAACTAGAGACTAATCTAAAAGGGACAAGTGATTTAAAATGACTACTCATATGTAGAAAATGTAGGGGTCTGTTTTGTGTTTAACTTTCTGATGTACACACATTAATATAAATAGCAGCAATAATAATCTTTCTGTTTTCCTAGCCTGTGCTCCCTATTTTCACTCAATTTGTGTGATAAAGCTGAGAGAAGACCAAAGGAGCAGTCATTTTTTCTAATATTTGGGTGTACTGAAGGAGAAGGATTCTGTTACTGCTGAGCAGATTTTTCTGTTGCTGTCATGCTCACTCAACTGGTATATTATCTAAAATTTGCATGTCTTAATGTTCATGGGTTTTTATTTCGCAGGTCAAGGAGTGGATGAGCCCCTCTCTGATACTGGTTTCAGACAAGCAGATGCTGCTGGTGTATTTCTCCGTAATGTCAAGTTTACTCATATCTTTTCAAGTGACCTCCTTCGAGCAAAGCAGGCAAGTGCTTCTTGAGGTGACTGGATGTAAATATTAACTTCAGTATTTTGCATGTATTTGCTATTGATGGTGCAAAAATATTATGGTGAAGGAGAGCCAAAAGCAATTTTGATGGATTTAAAACTAAATTTGGACTTAGGTGGAATTCAAGAAGACCTCTGTGAGTAAGCAAACTTTAAAGCAAACAGTTAAGTTAGGACATGATGAAGGCTGACTTGCTTTTTTGGATGTCATGCAATGTTAGTCTTGGGGATTTGCCGTTATTTTACATATGTGTAGGTTCTTGCTAAAATTTGTAGTGAAGACTCAGAGCTGACATAGGCTGTCACAGGAGGCCCAACTCCAGGTGTGGCCTCATGTCATGGGAGGCCTGGGAGGGAGCCAACCACAGAGCATCCTGACGCTCTGGTCCCCACAGCACTCCACACTACAAGAAAGGTTTGGGGTGGCGGTATAGGTGTCCCTGTCACTTATGAATGGGTTCACAATTAACGGCCAGAAACAAGCAACAAATCTTAATATGTATCACTGGTAGTAGTAACAATTAAAAACTAGCAATAATAACAACAATAGTAGCAATATACCATTAATTAATTAATCAGTAACCATACACTGAACTCCCCACACACCACAGAACAGGAACAATTACAGTATTTGCAGATACATACATGGGCTCAAACTGGTAAGGGTAAAGGTACCTTTACACCTTTTCCCGGTGGTTACGCCGGGAGGGGAAGGGGAAGGAGGAGGAAGGGACAAGCAGGCCACGCCAGGGTGGGGAATGCTGCTTCAAGCCCGAGGATTAACTAAGCAGGCCGCACCAGGTGCAGCGTGCCACCGCCACGCGTGATCTACGAGTGAGCAGGCCACAGCCAAGCCGGTGTGCCGCTTCGGTTACTGCTCCCTGGAGTGGGGAGGGGAGTACTCACGTGTCCGCTGGTGTTAGTAGCGATGGGGGGATGCCTAGCTGCCCGACCCAGCGTCCCAGATCAGGGGGCACAGCGGCACTTGCTGTCCTGCAGCCTGCCGGGGCGGAGATCTTCCTTTGGGTTGGGGGCAGGGAGGGAGGAAGGGAGCCTTGGAAGAAGGCCGCCGAGGCTGCTTCTTCCCCAGCCGCTTGGGTGATTTCAGCTCTCGGCAGCTTCTTCACCGCTGCTGCTTCAGTGAATTCAGCTCTCTTCGCTGCCGCAGAAGCCGCCGCTGGGCTCGCGTGTGACCCTTTTATCCCTAGCCCACTTTGGGACCGCAGGCAAGCAATTGGTCAAATTTGTCTAGACCCCCCTCTCTTAGTGGTCCGGCTTCAATCCCTAATTGTAGTGCGGACCTGTTTGCAGATGGCCGTGTAGACTCGCCTTCCTTCTGGCATATTCTGCTTGATTGACAGGTAAGGGCTTCTAGGGCACGTGTTAGCCCTCCACCAATGATTCTAAATTGTGGCAGTGGGAGATTTCTGCAGGCTAACTGGGGTCACGAAAAGGACAGGGTGATTGGCACCTCATACCCATTGTTCAGTAAAACCCATTTTCCTAACTTTTCCCCTAAACCAAACCTCTCCATGACGTAGGCCTAAGTCAGTTTTTCTTTGAAAACTCAAAACAAATTGGCTGTGATATAGCTGTACCATCCTGTTCATTGTGGCTGCATGCTGTGTTCTTCTGAAGAATGCAGGCCAACATAAGCAAGATCGAGTTTTGCTGTAAAGACAGTACAAGGATCAGTGAACATGTGGAGAAGGCAGATTTTGTCAGGGCTGAATGTAATAGCATGCCCTTTCACCTTGATGCACTGTTTTAATAATTTAATTGAAGGGGCAACAGTGCACCTTACTGAGTAGGGTTACATGTGGTTTTGTGTGCAAGATTACAAAATGATCCAAGAGTTTGGGAAACAAAACTATTAAATGGAGAGGCATAGATCAGCTGTTTTAGGAAGGTCATATCTCCTGTGGAAGCCCTATCCTTAATTCTTCTCTTCTGTTACTGATGCTGTGGTTTCAAGAGACTTATAAGGCCTCCCATGACTGAAACTGTGAGGAAATTCGATAGCCCTACTTGCTTCTTGCTTTTTTTCTCAGTTGTGCTGCTACAAAAGTCTGTGAAGCCTTCTTGTAAACCAGATTATCAAAATTTAGGTTAAAACCTCTTTAGTTTTAACACATTATCTTGCTGATCTGTATTGCAGCATGGTCCCATAAACTGTTGTAGCAACACAATTTAGGCCAAAAGTGAACTAGAAAAGGAGGGAGAGCAGAGGATACACAATCTATAAGCAAGCCTGTCTTCTGTGGACAGTGTCTTATGGTTCTGAGTCTTGCAATGCAGTAATAATAAAGGAAGTGACTTGTCAGGCAGTTAAGTGTGTGAATGGCAGTAATTATATTTTACAAGTTTAATACTGTTTTTTAATGTTCTTAAGACTTTGTGCTATGTGCCTGCTTCAGGGAAACTTTGAAATGCTCAGCTATTTGAGAGTAAGGTTGGGTTTTTGGGGTTTTTTGTTTGTTTGTTTGTTTTCCCCTCTATATTAGAAACAGCCTTTTCCCTGAGAAGCACATGCACTCTCATGATGCAGTCAGACCTGAACTTGTCCTTTGCGTAAAGGAAAGGTGTTTTGCCATTCTTTTGACAAGCGATCCAAACTTTGCTGAAGTTTTTCCAAATATGTGTAAAGTTTCAGTTTGCACTTGCTTAGATACTCCCTTTTTTGGCAGCTACAAATCTATGAAGGGTGTCCTTTACTACACTATCACTTCATAGCTCAAGTATGAGAGGAATGTATGAGTTCCTTTGCAAAAGAGAAAACAAAAGTTGTTAAAGAAATTGTTAGCGGTGAAGTTCAGTTTTTCTTGCAGCGTCCCTTCCATCTGCTGTAGTCAGTGTTTGCACTGGTTCCTGAAACCAAGAGAGGGAGATGGTCCTCTGGCTACTGCCTATGGCTTGCAGCTAAGCATTCAAGTCTGTGCAGGTCAGGAGAAAATGGAGATTATGTGAAGAGAATTGGATTAGCTGGGCAAAAATTCCGAGAGGTGAAGGAGATGCAAAGTGAGCATGTATAGCAAATAAAGAGATGGGCTAGACGGGGGAGCCTGTTTGAGAGAATAAGCCTCAAAGGGGAGGGGTTGAAGACTAGCTCCAAAACTCAGCAGTGTAGAAGAGCACAGACAGACCTGGATTGGAAAAATAAAAGACAACTTGTCAAACAAGTTGGGATTTGATGTGAACAGAGCATAACTCTTAACATCAAAATCTGCAGGGGAAAATGAGACTTATGTGATGGTTGTGCCAGTGGGACAGGAACTCTGTGGTAGAGAAGTTAGGTTCAGGACTAGAACAGGTTGGGCCCTGAAAAAAGTAAGAGAGAAACTCTGTACCTTTTCCATGTGCAAAATGGTGTTAATATGCCTTCTGTTACTGTAGTATTGTGAAAATTCAGCACTGCTTCTGCAGCGTGCTGATATTCTAGTAGCAAATAGCATAGGAAAGGCTAGAGGAACTTCATCTCTTCCCTCAGAGCAGGTTTTGGGCATTATTTTGCATAATAAATGGGGCATGGGCCTTGATGTTCAATTTTTAAAAATCAGGTATGAACTGAAGTGCTCGTTTAGTGAATGTCGTTTGTACTGAACGAGATCTTAGTCCTGCAGAAACTGCAGGATCTTGTTTGTAAATAAAATGTATGTAAATCATAGTACAATAGTAAATTGTAAATCATACAATTTACTATTCATATATACAAGGAAATTGACTCAATCTCGTCTGAATTTTGACATTATTCTATAACAGACATTTAAAGTTGCTACATAAAGTCTTTTGTAGTCAATACAAGAAATACATTATAAAATCTAGTTTAGTAAAACAAAGCTTATTGTTCTTTGCCAGAATCCAAGGAGAATTTTCAAAATGAGTTGATTGAATGTAGATTTGAGTGGAGATGAACATTTAGACTTCTAGCTGGTATTACTAGTCAAAACTGCGTGCAAGTTTGGTGTAGCTTTCTGCTCTTTACGTTCCACAAAATATGGAGCGGTTAGTCCTCCTTCAGTTCCCATTATCGGCTGTAGCAGGCAGACAGCTGTCCAGTATCCAACTCACTAGAGTCTGAGCCTATGTTAGCTAATAGCTTTTCCAGAATGGTATCAGAATTTCCTCTTAGTCAACTTGGACAACTGTCTTTACTAACACCTCCTCCCTCTCATCTAGACCATTATTAAAAGCAAACTAAGCCCTCTGAGTTTTCCTCTGTCTCTTTTTGGCCATGCTGTGTTCATCAAAAGCCAAGTAAATAAAATCAGCTGGATTTTTATCCAAGTGTTTTATTCAATGCGTGTCTTCCTCCCAACAGCAAGGCTTCAGTATCTTGCCAGCAAACACCCTCCTGCCTCTGCTTCAAGAGTATTTGATTTCAGAGGTAATTTGATTCAGAAGTCAATTTGATTTGTTAGATGCTATGTTTTTGGCAGCCAGAGTTAACTGATTGGTTCTTAGGAAAGTACTGCTTGTGAGTCTTTAACCCACGCACTGTGCATTTAAAAAAAAAAAAAAAGTCAACATGATCTCTTTGTGAGTAACAGTATACTCAAGAAAAGATGTTGCAATTTACCCCAGTAAATCCTGCAGCTGACATGCATTTTGCTGCCCACCTTTCATGGGTGTTAAGTGTCTCCAACTGCTGTAGACTTTGAATTGTGAAAGAACTTAGGGGAGATTGTAGCTTTTCTACCTTTTATGGCCTGACATGGGCCACGTGCGTGATTCTGACAGACGCTACTAGATGGAAGGATTTTTATCTTGTCTATTGGGTTGTTGGGTACTACTAATGTAAGTCACATTGGTTGTGGTGGTTTAAGATGGTATAGCTCTCTCATGAGATAGCAGTTCATTGATGTGACTGTATATTCACTTTTTAGACTGCTGCCACAATTATAGGAAAAAATAAGTTTTGCAAAGATTTGGAAATCAAGTATGATGCAAGACTTCGAGAGAGAGTAAGTGCCGTAAGAACTTGTTATTAATAATGAATATTTTGAAAATGTAATTTACTGCTGATGGATACCTGATTTATTAAAATGTAGGTTTAACAGCGGGGCATACCATTTGATGCGTTTCTAGTTACTAAAAACTGAATAATTTACGTGAGATACTAAAAGTTGTTTGCCTGAGAGCGGAATGTTGAAGCAAAGGCAAAATTTAGTGATAGTGGTTTAACTGTGATGCTCTAAGGAGTTATGTAAGACAACATTTACATATAGCATTAATTATCTTAAATGTAATCAACAGATTAGTTATGTTTTCTAAACACGCATATAAAATGGTAAAAATGCTCCTGCCTGTCTTCTCTTGCCTTGATGGCCCAACTTGATGTTGGCTTTTTAGCTGTTTGTACACACTTCCGTGAGTACAAAGACTAATGGAAAACTCTGTAGTCGTGATGGAACAATCTGCCTTCCTGAATAACCTCTTTGCCTAATAAAAGGCATAATTGTACCTCCTGTATGTTTTTAACTGTCTTGATCAGAATGAACTCAATGCTGGCTGCTTCTGTTAATATCAATCACCCTTCAGATACTACACTGACAGTTAGTATTTCCTTATTTTAAAATTCAACTACAAAGCCAAAAGTGGGATGGCAGATTGCTAGCAGGCGAATGAAAGTTTAAAGAGCAGAAAATGATTGTAGCATTTCATGTTTTGACCCTCTTGCAGTTGTGTTGGAAATTCCAGTTCACCCTCTGAAATCAGCAAGACACATGCCTCCCAATCATCTTTAATTGCTTCACCACCTGATGTTTTTGGAAATATTATGGGCTGTATTACAGAGTTTTATAAAGATTGACCTCAATTTTAAGTCTCTGCTGCATTTTTTTCTCCTTCATGGTGTTGTATGAACGTGTAAAAATGCAAATACAGTGTCTGCAGACCACAGATTGAGGCACTGCTCTTTATAACTGGAATTAAACTTGAAATGCATGAAAAGAAGCTAAGTCCTTTAAAAGAGCATATGCTGGTGATCCTATGAAGAGAGCTCTAGTCTCTCATGTGTTGGCTTCGTGAGGAGAGTCTGGAAAAGTCTTAAAGTGTAGGATTTCCTTTTCAGCAGTTTTGGAGCACTTATTTCTTCACTCTTAGTGTTCTTAAATTTTTGCTTTAGAGAAAGGGATTGAGATGCTGAAGTGAATGTGTTTCAGTCTATTTAAATTCTGAGGACTGTAATAAATAAATCCTTGTGGCAGCTAATTGCATATCACAGCACAGAAATCAAAAAAGTCTCAGTAACGATCATGTGACTATATCCTAGTCGTAAACACCTGGATTCCTGGGTTGTGCATAACTGAGGGTTTGATAGTACAATATCACTCCTTACTTTCTTAAAAATACTGCAGCATTGTCACTGTCTTCAGACTTTCCAAGAAGCTTTATGCTTGAATGCATTTCTCATCTATTAGCAGTAGTGCATTGGGAAAAGCATTAATCTGTTATGCCACTGTTAAAAGAGAAGTCTTGGAAAGATCTTCAAGGTCAAAAATAGTAATACACATCCAAGTATATCCATCTTCTAAAATATATTAGAGACCATAAAGATTACTTTTATAATGTGACTTCTAGTTTTCCAGAATGTGTAGTTTGTGTATATGGGTTGTTACTACTGTTTCAGGTGTGAGGTTTGCATTTGGAAGTTCTATCTCAGGAACAAGTATGTCATTGAAATAGTTAATTATCTGTTCCTAAGCTCCATTGACATATGTTCTTTAAAACACTTCTCCCCCCCGCCTTTAACACTGTCCACAGCAATTATAAGTCCCCCTGGCAAAAGAGGGGAGGCTATTGTTTATTTTTAATAGATGGACTACTTGCTGTTTTTTCCTTCCTTTTAAACAACTCTAATTTTTAAATGAACTCCTTCTCTCTTGTGGACATTTTTCAGAGGTCTGTAGAGGAAAATAATTGTTACTTTTGAAAAATAATTCCCTGTAGTCTTTCCACAGGTGAAAATAAAGGGAGTTTATCATCCTGTGAAGGTTTACGTACAGGGGTGTTTGCAATGTAGCCTTAGTTACAGAAATGCTTTAATTTTCTATACTGAGTATCAGGTACATAGGAAAAAAAACTCTAGTCAAAGATCAGGCCTAAGGGCTAACATTCAAAAAAATTACCTTTAAATGAGATGTTGCACTTCATATACACGTGCACATATATCTCTCTACCTAACACACATAGCAGATATAAAGACACCTTTCTCCGTCTCCCCCTGAAACAATGGGATAAGATGTGAAAGTTAGTTAAGCCTGGACATTATGAATAAGCATCCAAGAAAGCAAATCTTTTAAAAAAAGATATTTGCATTGAAAGTGGAACTGGAGACTTGATATGTCTGGCTAAACTCTGTCTCTGTAACTTGCCTCTTACAGAAGTATGGTGTTGCAGAAGGAAGACCTTTGACTGACCTGAAGGCAATGGCAAAGGCTGCTGGAGAACAGTGTCCTTCATTCACGCCTTCTGGAGGAGAAACACTGAATGAAGTATGATATTTACTTATTTATGTCTTACTTTCCAGGCTATTTCATTAGTGCAGATATAGCTATTGCTTATTTAAGAACATCTTTACTGAAAGCTTAGTCCAATGAAAGGTAGTTATGTTTCCAGGCTAAAAGAACCACTTGACTTAACTGCAGTGGCTGCCAAGTAAGGAACCTCTTTAGAGCCAAAGTATTGATTTTGAGATTGATTCCTCATTAAGCTCTCATTTGCAGAAGGATAATGGCAATTACTCTTACCCTTGAATTTCAAGAGCAGAGAAGTTCTTTTATGATGTTCACACCATCCAGTAGTTTACTATTGATTTCTGAGACTTATTTCTGATAAATGTTTATCTTTTTAACTAAAGTAGCTATATTTCAGTTTTCCGAAAGCTGAAATCTCTTGCTGCCTTCACAATGTGATCTTCTGACCTTTCCCTTTAGGTGAGAGGACGTGCAAGGGATTTCTTTGAATTTCTGTGTCAGCTAGCTGTTGAAGCAGGACAGAAAGAGCAAAAGATGCATAGTGCAGCAAGCAACAGCTTAGGAACATCTGAAGTACAGTCAATTTTCCCTTGGACAAACCATGGCAGTGAAGCAGAACTTAGCTCTGATAACGGTGGAGCTTCTAAGCTGTTAGATGCCAATATATTAGTGGTGAGTCATGGAGCGTACATGAGAAACTGGATTGGCTACTTTGTTTCAGATCTCAATTGTACTTTGCCAGCAACTTTAACAAAGTCTCAGTTGTCTTCTGTGAGTCCCAATACAGGAGTTAGTCACTTCACTATAAAACTTGATAATGAAAATATATTAAAGCCTGAAATCAACTGCGTTTGTCTTAATCAAGACTCTCACTTAGTGGATGTGAGTGCTGAGTGTGTAGCTCCAAAAGTGTTTTAAGAGTCTTTAGAGAGGAAGTGATTTTAGATCACCATCCTACAAGCTCAGAAAAAATTAATAATTAATGGGATCAACTGGAGTTATTGGCACTACACTGCAAAATTGAAGAACTGCTACTATTTACTACCTTAAAATAACATGCGACTTGCATGGTTCTAGTACCTGCTATAAGCTGACGCTGGAGAAATAACACAAATATTCTTTATGAACAAAAACATAATACTTCTGTTCAGTCACTTGCATACATGTTCCTGCAGTGCATAATTTTAAAAAGTTCTTACCATTAGCCCATAATTCTTTTGGTTATCTCTAATTATAAGAGTTGGGGATGTGGGAGAATGATACTTAAAAGAGGAGGTGTACCATATTTTTGTTTCATTACAAAGTGCTATACTGTAATATTAAACACACATGTTGTTTTAAAACAACTTTTTTGAATGCAATAGTATAACCTGAAAAAGAGCATTGCTTAGTGGGAAAAGTTTGGTACAAGGAGAGGGGACATGTTCCTGGCTCTGCTACTAAATAGCTGTGAGACCCTGGGCAAATCACTTTTCCATTTGTAAAATGGGGATGATGGTATATACCTACCTCACAGGAGTGTTTTGTAAGAAATTCTGTAAGTGCTGAGACCTCTGAAAAGACTGTACACAAACATAAAGTATTTATTTTTAACTGTAAGCAGGATGAGGAACCGAACGTGCACATAGCTGAAGCAACGGTCTCTATTTTGAAAAGTGATCTTATCAGTATGGTAAATTGTATCCACCTAGAATCCTGCTGTTAATTGCAATCATACATTTACGGGAGAGTATCTGCAGATTTAGGCAAGTTTGATTGTTTGATGATTGCTTAGGGTTACTGTTAGTACTATTTTTCCTTCCCCATTGGGATGTTTGTAGTGTTACTGTGTATGCTTATCTGATTTATGTGTTATTTATAATCTCCAAATACATTTTCTTCATTTACATATTTTAAGCCTGTAAATAAAATTATTAAACTCCATTTCATCTGTATTTCCTTTGAGGCAAAAATCTATGTTAATATCACTCTACAAAGCCTTGTCCAGCTCATACAGCTTTTGTTTTTTCTGAAAACTACAGGTCATTCTGTTACAATGAAAGAGTACCTTTTACTCATGAAAGACTTAAGTATGGATCAGCTTTCCTGACTCTACTTGGAAGAACCGCTGATGTTAAAATTGCTTGCAATTGTACCAAATTAACTATTTGAAACTTCTTTGACTACGTTGTCCTATGTACTCTAAACTATTTAGCTTCTTGGTCTTGGAGCAGGGACTTGAGTTTTGGGGAGGAAGAAGAGGTTGCTATTGTTTCCTTGAACAGGTACCTCTACTTAACTGCAGCGCAATTGAAAACTAACAACAGAAATGTTTAAGGTTCTGTACCTTGTTTCTTCCATTCCTGCGACTATGATTCAACAGGGAACTTCTCTTGATTCCTGCTTGAACACTGAACGAGGATCTGCTTCTCTTCTTAGTGTTAAGATTGTAGCTTAACCAATCCTGATACTACTAAAGTGGAGAGGATAAAGTGCGAGTGTTCAGTCCTGTAATAACAAAAGATAGTCCTCTAAGGTAGTGGTCTCCAGAACCTGGAAAGGAACTTAATGTTTTTTACTTACTACAGGGCTTGTTTATCTAGCAAATGACTGTGAAACCATCTGCTACTGTGCCTGAAAACTAGTCCGCCAAGAGGAAGCAACTTACCTGTTCTCTAAAAATGGATGCTGAATAACTGGCATCAGCAGGGATTGGGCTTTCAACCTATAAGGTATTATGTAGTGTGAAGGACTGGAGTACTTTACAGTTGTGAAGGCAAATTTAAATCCATGTATGCTGAATTTCTACACTGATATCTAAACTTGCTAGTTGTTGATAAACTGCATTCCTTCCACTTACGTGAAAGTGTAGTTAGGGAAGGCCACTTAAAGGCTCCTTGGAAACTTCATGTACCTCCTCCTCCCCAACATGAGGCAGTACATAAATGTGTAAGTATCTCTGAAGTTTTATGACTACAAGGTTTTCAGCAAACATGGCACGTTCATATGAGAACGTCCTAGGGAAACTTGAGATTTTTCTAAAACATAAAACCGTGCTTTATTCAAAATAGCTTTGTTTCAAATCTTTATTTCAGTCTTCACTTAAGAACACCTTTGTTTTGAATGAAGTATTCAATTCCAATGTTATTAGGAAGTAAAAATTTCTGAAGTCAAATAGTTGGCTTTATTGACATTATGTATGTTTACCGTTCAAATAGTAACTTTGTATTTATGAAAATAAAAAGGGCCTCTTTCTAATCAAAAGTACAGAGATAACAGTGGTAGCTGGACAAATTGCTCAGGATTTTTTGTTTAAAAGTGTCCATATTTTATCCATAAATAAAAGAAATAGTTCTTGACACTTTGAAGGAAATGTATGAGTATGCAAGAAGGAAAAACAGGAACTTGGGCTTTACACAGACTGTTGAAGCTTCTTGTGAAGTGCATCTTTCTAGAGGGCTCCTGAATCCTAGATTGATGATGATCACTGAAGAAGGTAGAAAAGTTTAATTATGACTACTGACAGAGCTTATGGAAGACGGTAGGAGGGGAGTTTGTTCTTAAAATGCTTGTGCCTGATAGTGCATATTTATTTCAGGAAGGCTACTTATATAGCAAAGAGATTTTCCTATTAGTGCGTTAAAAAGCTTGAACTTTTCCATAATTGCCATGTCTTGAATTTTGTCAGCCCTTAGCTGACCCTGGATCAGAAATGAGTAATACGTCTTCGAGCAGAATCAACCAAATTAAAAATGTGCATCCTTCTTCAACTAGAAAGTGAGTGGAGAGACCTAATACATTATCTTTTGTAAATCACTAACTTTTGTTGGATATTTCCAAACACACTGATTTGTGTGATTCCCCTAGATTAAAAAGTTTTATTTTTCTTTTCTTCCCTACCCTCAGACACCTTAATTACATTTTGCTCTTGCTGATGAGATACCATACAAGAACATCTACTTAATAGTAGATACTTGGTTAAGCGCTTTGCCTTCTCCTGGGTAATGCTCTTCCCTTGAGGACCTTTGACCCTACCAATGCACTTTACCTTCTTTAATGTGTTTGTAGGTGTTTAGAATTTAGACCCATCTTAAGGAATCTGTGCTTACAGTTGTTTTCTTTATGTTATTGTTAACAAAGTCTTACATCTTAAGTTAGCTCTCAAGTAGGGGAAGAAGAAGGTACAAAAGTACCTGCCTTGAATAATACCAAGAGACAAAACCATTCCAGTTTCCTAAATAGTTCCTGTGTTGATGAAGCAACATTTTTCAGTGGAAAAATTTGTAAGCCAGAAACTCCTAATCAGGACTTTGTAGAACACGTACTACATCGGTACAAGCATATCAACACTAACTATTTACGGATGGTGTGTAAGACTAGAAGGAAAGACCTTGCATTATTGCACTGAGAATTTTATAACTACAGGTTATTCTTTTCATATCTAAAATAAGTGTTCTGAAAAAGTAATTCTAGATACTTGTAGAGGATAGATCCATGAGACATAAGTATGGTGAGAAAGAGAGAGAGAACATATTAAGTTCCTCAACAACAAACTACCAGGGGCTGGAGGAGTATAAGCAGTCAAGGGTGTTAATGCAGTTGCCCTGTTGTATTCTTTCCCTGCATATGTGTTCCCGGCATTGTTGGGAACAGGATACTGGCCTAGATGAGCCTACATATAGCCCTAATATAGTTACACTTTTTCTTTCACTGTTATGGTATCAGATGTAATCTTCTCTGTGCATTAAAAATAAGTGCTTCTGGAAGCTTCTGAAGTCAATTGTAGACTTTTTCCCCTTTTAAGTCCATATATGGTACTGGTCTTTTTAAGTCTTTGAATTGATGTTGAGATTCAACCTTTCTTCTTGCACTTTTAATAACTTGACTCTTTCTGTACATTTGTACAGTAATTCTTTACAGTTTATTGGGAAAGGAGAGCTGAAGTTATAGATGGTTCTGTTAGGAATAATAGCAAAAAATAAATATTAGAGAAATTACTCAGTAGTTGGAAATGAATGTTTTTGTCCTTGTGAAATGCCAGTCTCTAATTAGCAGCAGTAGACAAGGCCTAACTACAGGGTGAATTTCCAGCAGCAGCAGCTGTCGAGATGCAGCCAAGAAGTTGTGAAAGTAAATTGAGTTATTAAACACATTACCAGGACAATAAGAATATTCAAGTGATGAGGTACATTTCTTTTGAATCCCTTTGTAAGAAAATACTGCTGAAATAAATGTTAGAAACATCTCAGTTTGCCCATATAATGACCTCTAGTTAGATCTGAGAGAACTGATGTTTACTTTAAAGTTATCTTTAAAACTGGTGAAGATTAAAACAAAAGCTATCCTGGCAGGCTTTCTCAGTTGGGCAATAGGAGAAGGTGACAGTGGAGATCACAAACACCAAGAGGAAGCTCAGTCCCCCTCTTTTTAAAGCTAATATTTTCTTTTGCTGAAGTGTTCATTTGGGGTTCTGCTCCCAAAAAAGTGATGCTTCAGAAGGTGGGGAGTTGTGACTTTCTTTGACAAAGCCCTTGTTCATAAGTGGTGCTTTACTAGGCCAGACTTCATTTGATGAAGAGAGAGACAAAGAGGATTTCCATGTATGTATTTTCCATGTATGTTAGCACCCTTCTTGCTCAGTTTTGGCTTCACCAACACCATCTTGTAGCAGGACTGCTAAGTATCCAGCAGCCATCAGACATGCAGCTTGACAGAGTGCTCTGGTAAAACCAGTTTCTTTCCTCTAAAGCATCAGTACTTGTTTAAAGATACTTGCTTTCATTGCACAGTTCTCTGCTGGGTTTATGTTTTCCAGACATAGTTCTGACCTTGCAATAGTGGACTTTTTTTTGGTTCTGTTTTGTACAGAACTTAAATCAGATGTGTTCTGAATCCAGGTTTTTTATATTTCATGAGACTGTCTCAGACCCACAGCCCACATGCCTGGACTTAAAATATGTCAGATTTTCCCCAGATGTGTCCCTGTTGGGAGAGCTTTGGCCATAAGCCTGTGGTTTTTGGATATATAGTAATCCCAGGCAAATGGCAGCTACATAAGTACAAATTAACTGCACAGTACGTGAGCTATTTCTGTGGCATCCCTGGGTATGGCAAACCTGCTGTGGGGATGATCTGTACGTACATGGTAAATCCAACACTTTCCAGGCAGGTCTCATGCTGAGGAAGCCCTAGGGTCACTTGCAAGCATCTCTGGGATTTCCTGGCATGTGGGAAGCCCTGTGTGAGCTTAAAAATGTTCCATCTGCACGTTAGAAGCTTGTAGTGAGGCCCCTGAGAGCACAAGCAGAGGACAATAACAACAGAGGCCTTGAGAATACAGGTGCAGGATGATGCCAGAGGCCCCAGGGATAAAAACACAAATCTTAAATGGGCAATTAAAGGAACGCAGGCTTGAGATCCTGGCAGAACCAGTTCTGGGGCAGGCTTGAGCATGATATCTTTTTGTTGTGATGGCTAGCTGGTTTATCAAACCATAACTAAACTAAAGAGAGATGACACGCTAGACTTGATGGTGATAAACAGTGGATATATTTTGGAAGAGCTAGCTGTTGTAAGCTGAATCCACTTAAAAGGCAGGGTAAAAAGGTTTTATTTCACAAAGGTAAGCATCACAAAATTAGTTAATGAAGTCAGCTGTACTGAAGAGTCTTAAATGGACTTAAAAATGAAAGGAGAGAAATTTACATTTTTTGAAATTGAAGGTATGAAAGTTATCTGGAATTTATATTCTACTCAGGCAAAAATTATGGGGAAGATCTCTAGACCCACCTGGATGAATAATCCTATTAGAAAAATTTAGTAACAGTCAGAAAGAGAGCCCATAAGGAACAGGAAGTTTTATCATATAGGAAGTTGCATCATAGATATAAAATAATGAGAATTTGCAAAACAAAATAAGTAGCAAAAAGACCTTGAGCATATATGCATATATCTAAATAGAGAATAAGGAAAGAAGTTTTAGAACTGTTGCAGAGTGTGGATGGAACAGAGATTAGAAATTGTGAGGTATATTTCAAAAATATGTTACTTCATTTGTAGCAATATTGAGCACAAAGGTAAAAAGGAGGATGGCTAATGGGGATGAGGATAGGGAAAATACTGCATTTAAAGCCAAGAATCAAATAATTTAATATGCTGCTGTCAGGGGAAATGACTAATCTTTATCCCAGAATTCTGAAAGCACATCTAAAATTACATATCCGTGAGCAAATATTTAAAATAGATCTGTCAAGTTGGGTGTGGAACTATATGACTAGAAAATAGGAAATAAAATTTTTTTTTATAAAAAACTGTTAGTTTGACCCTAATAGCATTCAATGCTTTAGAACATATTTCTAGAGAATGTAATTACAGATAGAAGGCTAAATAGAGTCTAGAATATTAATAAATGAAGTTTTCTTAAAGTAGATCACGCTAGACTAAACTAATATTTCTCTGATGAAATAAATGATGTCTAGACAAGGGAACAGTGACAGAATATAATTTAGGTGAATTTTAACTGAACACTTGACACAGTGCCACAAGGGAAACCGTCAGCTCAACTGGAAAAGAATGTTACTAGAATAAAGGTGAAGTAGATAAGCAAGCAACTTATGGGCAGATAAGTAGCAGTGTCAAGTACTAAGCTGGAATGGAGTAAGTATTTGAGTTCCTCATTGGCCAATTTTTTGTCAAAACATTTGAATAAAAATAAAGGAATGTGGAAGTGTAAATGAGGAGGCATCATCAATACCTAAATGGGTCAGGATATCATGCAGAGGAAGAAATGGAGGATTTGAGGACTGGGATTAGAGAAATGGAATGAAACCATCTACTATGGAGTGCCAGCTCATACACCTTGATATCAATAACAAGAATGTCTACTACAAGCAGGAAGATAATATTTAGAAAGCAGGAGAGTAACCTAGGGTTATATTAACCTCTAGATGACTGTGGGTAGTTGGTGTTGTTGCAGTGGAAAAAAGCAAGTCTGGTCCTGAAAAGTGTGGCTGGTCAATGTGAGGAGGCATTAATGCCATTGTACAAGCACTGATGAGATCTCCCCTGCAACTCTGTGTGTAATTCTTGCCACCTTTGGGGAAGAACTGGGAATTGGAATGCTCCTGTGAAAAGGGAAGCCAATAACCTTAGTTAAATTAATCAAAAATATTGAGTCATTTAGATAAACGCTGACAGCATTCTTAAAAAAAATAAAATCCTTTTCCCAATAGATCCAGGAGTAGTTGGTGTTTAATGCCTGGTTATTTCCAGGGGGATTGAGTAGGCAATTAAGCTTAGGAAAATTGCTTTTTCTAAACTGTGCCTTCCCAAGGATGTGGCTTATCCTGAAAGCTCAGTGATAAGAATGAAGTTCTTTCCTGGGTGGAGGAGTGGTACAAGTCTATGTCTCATTTAAATGCTCAGAATAGGGCTGGAATAGGGGAAACCTACTTTACAGAAGGATTTCAAGCTGAGTAAAATACCAAGAAATTTGTAGAAATTGAGACCTAAATTCAGCTAATAATCCTACTACTCATATCCTAAGACAAGTCCTTTTTTCTTCTAAAAATATTTAGGCTATATCTAGTATTGTGCCTTTGCCTCAGCAAACAGTCTCCTTGTTAATGCATCAAAGTGTATTCAAATGTAATGAAGAATAGTTGGGGATCAAGATTTGCCCAGAATTCTAGTATGGCTGTGTTGTCTTATTCAGCTTACTATATGCAGCGTGCAGCTTTCCTTTACTTCAGCAAAAGCTCATAGTCCTCAATTAAGTTACTAAGCAAAGTACTCAGATTTCTATAAGATATTAGCAAGGTCAAGCATTCAGCAATGCAAAGCAGAATGGGACGTGTGGCTGGTTAAAGAAGACATGGTAAACTACAAGAATAAGGATGAAAAGGAAGTGAAAGAGTTCTGGAAGAGACGTGAATCATCATGCTTTAGAATCTAATACACATCACAAGGCTCAGAAAGAATCAGGTTCTACTGCACCCCAATTGGGACCCTTCTTTCAGTTGCCTAGTACTGGTTACTGTAAGGACAGGAGTTTGGACCAGCTGTGAACCTTCATTTGCTGCCTTCTTCCGCTAGAACACCACCACCACCAGGTAAAAAATCTCAAGATTCTCTTATTTCTCTCAGTAGTCGCATATGCCTCATAATCTTGGTAGTGTCCAAGCCTAATAAATAAACATTCGAGTGTTTATTCATGCCTTTTTTCAAACATACTTCATTAATAAAAATAAAACTTCACTCATCCCTGTGAGAATCATGAGCGTTTGGGTGCAAATGATGCAGAAATGTTTTTTGTCTTGCATCTTCAGCATAAATCCTCCACATAAGCCCCTTCCTCCTCTCCTAACCAGGGACTTTCTTTGTCTTCTAAAAGAGACGGAAACAGATATAAAAAGAGGATGAGTCCCCATTAAATCAAGCCAAGAGCCTCTATGAAGACAAGGGTAGTGGAAGACAGAATGGTGGGTGATGAAAAGCACCTAGCAACAGCCAGCACAGAAAGCAATAGAGCAGAACTGGTGGTTGCACGTGTCTGTGTTACGCTCAGCAGCTGTGCCTCATCCTAGGCAGCAGTCTAGGAAGTTAGCACTTCCTCATAACACCTAAGGCTCTAATAGATTTGGCAGCACATTTTCAAAGGCTATCAGCAGCCCAGCCCATGCCACAGGAAAACTTGGACTGGTAGACCTTTTGCAAAGACACTTTTGTTCTGGGCTTTATTTACCATTACTATTTAGCGCTGCTATCAAAAAATGAAAGGCAAAATGATGATGACTGAAAGTCTTGCAAGCTTATAGCTGTACTTGTTTCAAAAGTTAGTGAAGAGGAGAGGGTTACAGGATTGTTATTGAAGAGCAGTTTATAAAATTCTACAATTTACAATGACATGAAATCTAGAAACAGAGAATAGCAAGAGGTTCTTTAAGCATTCAGCTCAGTCCCCTCTGCTTCTTGCTCCTGCATGTTGTGGAAGAAGAAAGCACTGGCCAAAGGAAATGTGAGGACCTTCTCAGGAAAGTGAGAAGGCATCGAGCTACTATAAATTCAAAAACCCACTCAGGCAAAAAAAGCAGGCTAGTTTATTTTTTACTTCAAAAAGAGTTACTTTAATGCAAAATCAAAAGCAATATTCCACCTGCTTTAATCTGGTAAATCCATCAATGGAAAGCTGAGGCTGTACTATAGACATTTGTTTCATAAGCCAATGTGTTGAGCTCATAACAAGGATTTTGGTGCATTTGGATTTTGCTTTAAATGGGTCCGGATTCATCCTGAACTCTGTGTGAAAGCTCAAAATACCAAATTTTCTGCTTATTTCCCTCCTAAATTACTTTTCCCTCTGGTGCATCAACTTAGTTCCTTCTCTACATTCAAGAGCTTACAAGAATTGAGCACTGCACAACATATCAGCAACTGTACTCAGTGGTTTTTCATCTCGATATTGGTTATTTGTCCTAAAAAGAGTCAAAACACAAAACAGCATGGACCTGAGCATAAGTCATAACTCCTGCATTGTTCTCAGCTGTGCTGAGCTGGATTGGAACAGATACTCCTATCCCTTAGCTCCTTATACTACAGTCCCTAAACTGTCACATCCTGCTTGAGTTTCTACAGCTTCCAAGTCCTGATATTACATGCTTCCTTCCTCAGCCTTCCCTGCCATTTCTTGCAGCTCTGCTTTCCTCTCATACTCTTTTACTTCTTTCCTGTCTTCTTTCTTTGCAAAATTCTCTGTGTTCCAAAGATGCATATAACTTGAAATCCTCATGATGCAGCAAACCACCAACCTCCCTGTAATATCATGTCATCAGAAGGTCACTTACCATTTCTCAGCCACTCCCCTTTCTTTTTCTTCTTTTCTGTCTTTTACCATCACATCAGCTCTATGAGGAAGCAAGGGGGAACCTTACTTTCAGATATCCTCACCCTGTGTTGCCCTGTGGCTGATACCAGCTCGGGTTCCTTGATTTCCTACACAGGTTAAGCCCACCTTTATAAGTAACATGAGGTGCATAGCAGTGGTAAATGGGGTCTTGTCCCTGCCAGTGTGTCCCAAAAGCATGTTGTAAACCTGTAAAAATACCATCAATTATTTCAAGCTTCTAACAAAACAATTTTAATGGATTTCTACATGGGGAATAAAAACATAAGCATACCATATGCAGAGGACATGACCCAAAGGAGCTGATGACTTGAGAAACAATATAAACACCCTATATGACCTAAGCATAAGGGAAGATTATTTTCTCTTCCTTAATATCTGAAAAAGTAAATGTGTCATATATGCTTGCATGCTCCTGCACAGAGCACTTTAATGCTCCCCAGCACACGCTGCCAGGATCCAATCTGCACATACCAGTGGGCCTCTTTATCACCCGCAAGGGCAGTAGGGGGCTTTCCTGAAGGAGAGCCCCACAGGGAGCAGCAAGGAATGCGAACAATGGGGGTCCCTGCTTCCTCCTACTGTTCCTGCCCTTAGAAAGCCAAGGGTCATAGTCTCCCCTTCTTTTCATCCCTATGTAAGTAAATAGCTATGCCATTAAATTCGCAGTGGTATAGAAGATAAGTCCATAGCTGAACTTACGAGGGAGCTGTTGTCCTTTGTGGAGCTGTGAGTAAGCAATAATGAACAGTGCAAGAAATGCTGTAGGAGAGGGAATTAGATGATAATTGTGCCATATTGTCCTTCTCTGTCATGTCAAGGTTGAACTCTGCTGCGATCTGAAAGTAGCCTGGAGGGAAGCAAAACATAGGGAAGAAACATAGATGTGTGACATCTACTACCTGTTCTCAGGAGTGAGAAGTGTGCTCTTTGCAGTTGTTTGCACCTACACCCACTGTGTAGGTGGATGTTACCCATAAAGGCCAGTGGATCTGTTTTTTTAATTATTATTATTTGATTTTAACTGCAAAATGAAAACTGAAAAACGTCTTTACTAAAAAATATTCCTAGTGTGATAAATACATGGAATAGTTATGTGCTGTTTGCAGTCTGCTGCTCCCTTGTAGCAGTGTAGGCTTAAAGAGTTAGATGATGATGCTTTCATTTTTTAAATAAATAAATAAACAAGGCCCAGTTAAACCCTTGTCTGCTCTTTGAGAGTCTCATTTCAAACTGCTGGTCAAATACTGTTCTTTAACGTCACCATCTACAGATACTTCTTGAAGAACAGTCAGAATAGTCTTCACTTTTCAGTTACATTTCCCAAAATTTAGCTAGTCATGAGAGAGAGTCAAGGGCTTTTTTTAGGAGAAGTCTGCTGTTAGAAGAGCCCCTGGAACAGGCAGTCAGGGTTTCATTGATCGTCCTTTGCCATTATGAGCCATACAATCATCTTATCTTCATTGCAGCGCTAAGGTACCTTCTGACTGTTCAGCATTTTGTTTGGATTACTCCATGGAGAAAACTATGTCAGAAATAATTTTTAATGACTCCTTATGATCTATAAAGCAATAGTCTTTGGACAGTTCCACTTCCTCACCATTCCTTCCTTGCTTTAGGTTAAGATCTGGTTAAGGTTTCAGTTCACACCAGAGCAAGCTCCCTGATGAAAAAGAGGCTACAACTGAACACGTCTTTGTGTTTGTCCTGCTCTTGGACAGAGAGGGAGCTCGTCCGAGATAACTACTGGGGCTGTGGTTGTTCAGAAGCATTCTCTCTTCTTACTTCCCTGTGTACAGCTGACTGTAAATGTGCTTGAACAGTCCCAAGACAGGACGGAGACTTCAAGCATGTGGGAGACAATGATATCGGCTGATTTTGTTATGATACTTTGGCATCTGTGATGTTTCTTGTGTACTTCAATCCCTATTGCCTATTCCCGCC